TCTAAATAAAAAGGAAAAAAAAGTTTGCTTACTCTTTTCACCACTGAGTTGTTCAACAGCATGGACAAAATAGCTATGAAGATCGGTGGTCCATCTCAGTCGCGGCATTTTTTACTTACTGTAAGGTCTAACAATCTCTCTTTTCATCGTTTTTGTTATGCGATGATTTATTTTATTTTAAAGATGTATCAATTATTTTTTTGGTTCTAAAATATTTATAGAACTTTTTTAGAAGATATAATTACCAAAAATAACATAAATAAAAATATTTAATGCTAGTAAATATGATTCTTGTGACTTGTGATTTGTTGTTTTATTAAGAAAATTAAAATTACACTTTTAAAGAAAAATATTATTTAATACCATTTTTTTCTAGTGGTGATAATATGTACCATAAAACTTAAAATTCAATTAATACTACCAGATTTGTTTCTAGAAAATAAAACTATATATGCTGGCAAATTATTTTATAAAAAGTCAAAATTAACCCAAAATTAATATATTTCCAAACTAGGATATGTATAACTTAATGGTTTGCACTAGTGTGGTTATCGTATCATCATCCAATTTAAACATATGCATTACATGTTGTTTATTGACAACAATAACAAAGTTATACATTAAATCCTAAAATTTTATCTTATTATCATCATTTTGAACCAAATTATATAAATAACTTGTAAGTCTACTCTATACATTATACTATTTCCTTCCAAACCAATTTAATTTTATTCTAATAAAAAAATTGCAATAGTAGAAATACCATAAAGTAATAAGAGACTGCTGGAAATTTTCTGTGTTTTAAAACTTGGTGAGGAATGAGGAAAGCAAAGGCTTTCTTTTATAGGAGCATGTTTCGATTTTGAAAAGTCAAACAAATTCAATTATTCCCTGAGATTGGCTCAGAATAATTGACTGGTGGAGTAAATAGTGGTTGTGGGCGAAAAATCTGGAACGAATGTTCCATAACGAAAATATTTGAACAGGTTTCTCCAAATAATAAATGTTTGTTTTAACCCAAAACATTTATCTACCAAGAGCTAAGAGCCAAGAGCCACGAGCCACATGCCACGCGCCTGCGCACACACCCACGCCCCGACCCGAGCCGAGCCAAGCGAGCGCGCCCGCGGACCATTTCTCCTTCCAACAGCTTTTATACTTCTCAAAGTCTTCTTCTCTATATAAACAAAAGGATTTCTCCATTTCTCCCCGATGTGAGACTTTTCCCCATCTCCTCATTTAAATGTTACCTACTAAAATGCTTTCTCTTGTGAGCCTAGTGGCCCATTTCGTTTTCACACATACAGAATTTGATAAAGCCCACATGCTTTATTAAATTGGTCCAACAATCCCCCACATGAATAGAAATGACTCTAAACTTATGCAGACTCGACAATGCAGACTCGATAGACCACTGACTAGACTTATCATAAAACTAGACAGACTGACTTATCGAGAGTATATACGAAATTAATTGTGTCTGAGTAAGTAGCATTTTTCAGCTTTGAACCACTCATTATTAATATCTGTCGGGTTTACTTGGCAGGGAAGTGAACATGATTTCTTGATCCACCCAGATTTTTATGTAAACCGAGACAACAGGTATAACCCAGCTTCATTTCTCGTAGAACTAAGTTCTCTATTGTGTTCATTTTGGCCGTGAACTTGCCTAGTTATTCATGAGTGAACTTAGAGAATATAGCCATACTTTCATTCTCCTAGAAACGGCTCCATTTCACACTCACTAGATGATCTGCCTTTAGCTTGTATTTTAAGAAGTATTCTGTCATACTCCACATATCTTACAAAGCTATGGAATCATTAAAAGCCATTGCTTAGTCTTATCACATACAGGTAGCGATACAAGTCTCACAGTGCTCTTAGCAGTTTCAGTTTGATTTAGTTGTCCCCATGAACTTAGATGTTTGGATCTCCAGTCACATAAGTAGGGTTTCCACCAAACATCTTCTAACTTCACAGGCTTTAGACCCATTCCTCTTGATGATTTTAAATCTTGATCTCGATTTAATCCTTTTGTAAATGGATCTGATAGATTGTCAGCTGACTTTACATTATCAATGGTGATTACACCAGATGAGATCAAATGTCGAATGGTTTTATGTCGTCTTCTGATATGACGAGATTTTTCATTATAGAGATTTTTCAGTGCTCGAGCGATAGCCGTTTGGTTATCACAGTGTACACGTATTGCTGGCACTGGTTTCTAACACATTGGAATATCTTCCATCCAATTTTGAAGCCATTCTGCTTCTTCTCCGGCTTTATCAAGCTGTTATAAACTCTGATTCCATCGTGGATCTAGCTAATAGAGTTTGTTTGCCAGATCTCCAGGACACGGCTGCACCTCCTAGCATAAAGACATATCCACTAGTTGATTTTGAGTTCTTAGAATCGCAAAATCCACTTGGCATCACTATATCCTTCTAGAACTGCTGGTTCTTTACCATAATTCAAACCATAGTATTTTGTATAACGTAGGTAATTTAATACTCTTATTATGCCTTTCCAATGTGTATGTCTTGGATGACTTGTATAACGACTCAGTACATTGACTGTGTGCGCTAAGTCAGGTCTAGTACAATTTGTTAAGTACATCAGACTTCCAATCACTCCATACTCCAGTTGTGACACTGATTCACCCTTCTTGTTTTTATTCAAATGGAGATGAGGGTCCACAAGGAGTTTTTGCTGTACCATTTGAGTAAGCTTTGAACCTCTCAAGTACCTTTTCAGCATAATGAGATTGAGTCAGAATGTATCCTTCAGAAGTTCTAATGATTTTGATCCCCAGAATTACATCTGCTAATCCTTTATCTTTCATATCAAACTTGCTCTTTATCATGTTCTTAGTTTGATTGATGATGTGTTTGTTGCTTCCAAGAATGAGCATATCATCGACATACAAACATAACAAAATATACCCTTGTGAGGTACTTTTGAAATAAAGACATTTATCACATTCATTTATGCTGAAAACATTTGACAACATAACACTTTCAAATTTTTCATGCCATTGTTTTGGAGCTTGTTTACGTCCATACAGTGATTTCACAAGTCTACAAACTTTGTGTTCTTGTCCAGGTATTACAAACCCCTCTGGTTGTTTCATGTAAATCTCCTCTTCTAAATTACCATTTAGAAAGACAGTTTTTACATCCATTTGATGGATCTCTAGGTCTCTTAATGCTGCTATTCCAATCAGCATTCTTATTGAAGTTATTCTCGTTACTGGAGAATAGGTGTCAAAAAAATCCAATCCTTCGTTTTGTCGAAATCCTTGCACCACAAGCCTGGCCTTGTACTTTTCAATTGACCCATCGGTTTTCAACTTTGTTTTAAAAATCCATCTACACCCAATGCTTTAAACCCTTCAGGTAAATCAGTGATGTAGTATGTGTGGGTTTGTTTAGTAGATTCCATCTCATTATTGACACTTTCCTTCCAAAAAGGAGTGTCTGGTATAGACATAGCTTCAGCATATGTCCTAGATTCGTTTTCTAAAAGAAGAACCATCGAGAAATCATCCCCAAAGGATTTTGCCTTACGAGCTTGTTTGCTTTGTCTAGGTCCATCTTCAATGTTTTCTGAAGTTCCAGGAGTGCTAGCTTCATTTTTAGAAGAACTTGATTCGTCTAGGTCCATCTTCATTTGTAGCTTCATTTGTGACCTTTTTCGGAGTTGGTGCTGCAACTTTTGCTAGGCACCCCCACACTTTCAAGTATTTATACGATTGTTCATTACCTTTCCAAAGTTCATAGAGAATTTTTCCTGTGACTTTGTGTGGTATTTTGTTCAAGATATAATTTTTGGTAAGCAATGCTTCCCCCCACATGTTCTTGGGTAACCCAGATTCCTACAACATTGCATTAATCAACTCTTTAAGAGTCCGGTTCTTGTGTTCTGCAACTCCATTAGATTCTGGTGAATAAGGAGCAGTTGTTTGATGGATAATCCCTTGTTTTTGACAAAAGGCATTAAACGGTCCATCATATTCACCTCCTCTATCACTTCTAACTATTTTAATAGTTTTATTTAGTTGGTTCTCAACTTCACGTTTGTATTCTTTGAACTTTTCGAAAGTTTCATCTTGGAAGAACGATCTATTTCCACCTCATAACTATGATATAGCACCATTTCTACACAGAGTTTGACCCTCAATCCATATCCACACAGTTTGAAAGTTCTAGCTCTATATCTCCACCATATCAAATTTTGAAACCTGTATCCCCATAGATGTTGGTTTTATCGGTTTATAATCTAAACCCGAAACCAAACCACATAAACCGTTAGTTAACGCAATTGAAAACCCGACCCGTAGACTCGATTTTTAAACCCGATCTTTATACCCGACTTTTAAACCCGACCTTTTAACCCAGACTCTTGATCGATATCCCTAATTCCAAAAGCTGATGATGAACCCTAAATCCTGGTTCCAAAATTCCCAACTCGAAAGTGATTGTAAATTGCAAATTACAAATTGCAACAGAACGTATGGAGATGGAGAAGATTATGTTTGCGAAGTTTGAAATGAAGATAGAGAAGGAGGTCTTTGAGAGGATGGAAGAAGCAATGGTTGAAGTGAAATCCAACATGAAGAAGATGATGGTTGTTGTAAGAATTGGTTGTATGATGATCGCTTTTGGTGTTTGTAAACTCATAGGTTAAGTCGAATTGGATTGTGTTTGTGTAAAATCTGGTTTAAGCTTGTTTATTTTCGCTGTGTAAGACCTTGTTTATCGTTAAGACCTGTAGGAGTTTGTTATCTATTTAGAAATTTGTAACATCATCAGAATGGATAAAACATTCTTACGTTAAATCCAAGCAGACCATAACTAATGTTAAATCCAAGAAAATCTGACCATAACAATCAAACCCGAAAAACAGAGTACAATACTAGTTTAAAAGAAGCTACAAAAACAGACACCTAAGCTCCTTATATCCGCATGCTCCAAAAACAAACCGCAAATTCCACAAGTTTCTCAAATCTGAGTGAGAGTTCCTTGAGATGCTTCCCCTTGAGATGCTTGAACCTCGCTAGATTCACCTAGAAAAGGCTGTAAGAAAACCAGAAAAAAATCATTATTCAAGAGAAATATAAACAATGACAAACCACAAAACAAAAACACAAAAACAAAGACAAACCTGTTTTTTCATATTGTGGAATCGAGAATTATGATTAGCTGTACCACAGATTTTACAATGCATTATCCTCTTTAACAGTACTGGCTTTTTCTTCGTAGGAGACTCATTTTTTCCTTTCTTTCTTTTTGTGTCAGGCTTACTAACACCATCTTTTCCTTTCTTCCGACCAGGTTGTGCTGGCTCTGGCGGCTCATGAAGTGGTGGAGCACCAACAATTGGCCAAAAACGTGAACCCCTGATTGGAACTAGTCCATCTGTATATGTCTTCCTCCACATTGAAGTATGAAACCATGGACTCACATAAAGCTCAGCATCAATTTTTTTATTCTTCAAAACTGCATAAGCATGCTCACAAGGAATCCCTGTAATCTCCCACCTTCTGCAAGTACAAGTTCTATTTGGCAAGCTCACACGATAACCACATCCACTAAGATCAACCAGATAAGTATTGTTTGTGCTTCTATGAACCGTGCAATCAGCAGCTTTTTCCTCTTCAGCTGCAAGATAATTAACCACGTATGGGGTACATAAACCTTTGTGGGCATGAGATTTGACATCTCTCTTAGCGATACGCACCATTGCCTGTCGAGCAATGGTAGCTAGCATTGGCACAAATGCCTTCTCTCTTGCTTTTACTATCGAACCATTCCAAGATTCTGTAGAATTATTCTCGACATCTTCACAGTGAGGTCCAAGCTTGTAGAAAGCCCTACACCAAGTCCTCGGGTCTGTCTTCATCACATCCGCATAGACACCCGAATCATAGTTGTTTAACCTGTCTAAGTTTTCTTGAAATTCAGCCTCGTTGTAGCTCCATGCAAGGTTCCAAATAAACGGCTTCATGTGAGTCTTCTTTCCATGCTTAGCCTTCACGTTCATATAGATGTGTCTAACACATTTTCTATGCTCGATATTTGGCAGCTCAAGATTAACAGCATATATCAATCCCTGAAATAGAAAAAGAAGTTACATGTAAATTAACATACTTTTATAACATATTAACATATATATGCATAAATATAAGAAGAAGCTAACTTACCTTGTGACGATCCGAGACCATTACGTATCCTTCACCATCTCCTAGATCCAAATCAACCTTAATCTTCCGCACAAACCACAACCAATTTTCTTTGTTTTCCACTTGTACAACAGCCCATGCTATAGGATATATTCGGTTATCCACATCTCGACCCATTGCAACTAATAACTGCCCTTTCATCTTAGCTCTTATAAAGCATCCATCCATTCCTATAAGTGGTCTACATGTGGCCTTCCATGATTTTCTGAGATTATCAAAGCAGACATAGAATCTGTTGAACACATCTAATCCTTCAGCATTCGTGATTGTGTCAATTTCCACACTAGAATTCGGGTTTGAGATTAGTATCTCAGCTTCATAATCCCTGAGACGAGAAAACTGCTCAGCATATTCTTTTTCAATCCACCTCAATGCCTTATTTCTTGCAGCTTGACATTGAGGCCTCGAGACAGTGATCTTCCATTTCTCCTTAACAATTTCTTCAATCTTCATAGGCATAAAGTACTTCGGCTCATCTCTAATCTTATCTAGAAACAACCGTGCAATCACTGGAACCTTTAACATCTCACAAGACCCATTAGGAACACATGAATGCTTTGAAACAAACACCTTAACCTGCCACCTAAAATCTTTTGGAGTAGTTGAACAATAGATACGCCAATCACAGCTACCACCATCACAGCTACCCACACATTCATAGCCAAGCTTCGTTTAATCATACCTGTACTGCTTGAGGTTGCGAGCTGTTCTGAGTGCGTAGTCAAGAACAACCTCTTTAAAGGCTATTCCATTCATGAAAATTTGTCCTTCGTACAACCTTCCATCACCTCTTCTGATGGTGTTATGTCGTCTCCTTGTTCTGACAGCTTCATCTTCATCACTTTCACTTTCGGGATACACATTATGCATAATAGAAGGTTCATCTTCAAACTCAATTAATGTCCCCTCGATGTTATACTGATTTTGCTCTCTTACATCTTCACCATCGGAATCCTCTTCAACCTCAGGGACATCGTTCCAATCGACCACATCCATTGTCGATATCTTGAAAGAAGCACACAATTTCGCTCCACTCAGCTTCGAAATCACTGCAGTTAAAACTAGGGTTCGTCGGGTTTAAGAGTTCGTGATTTGGGATTTTTAGAATTAGGGATTTAAGTTTCTGGGTTTAAGTTAGAATATATCGGGTGGATTATTGGGTGGGTGGGGCTAATTATTGGTTAATTCATTCAAATTAGCTCGTAATTGGTTCAATACTGGTTTTTTCCATTTTTGATTGGTTAAGTACGGATTGGTATACAGTAAACCAACATTAATCGTGATTTATGGGTGAATTGGTTGCAAATTTTCAATTAATGGAGATACAGGTTTCGAAATTTGATATGGTGGAGATATAGAGCTAGAACTTTCAAACTGTGTGGAACTGGATCGAGGGTCAAACTCTGTGTAGAAATGGTGCTATATCATAGTTATGAGGTGGAAATAGATCGTTCTTCCTTTCATCTTTGCTATGTAACAAGTATACATAGCAATATTTTGTGTGATCATTTATAAATGTCACAAAATATTTTTTACCACCTCTACTTTGTACGAATTTTAAATCGCACAAGTCTGTGTGTATTAAACCTAGAGGTTCATTTGTTCTTTCAACTTTGGGTGATGGAATTTAGTGAGTTGAGCTTGTACACAAACTTCATATTTTTCTTTGCTTTTTTTTGCATTTCAGAATTAGGTTCAACTTCATTAATCTCTGTATAGATTTATTATTCACATGTCATAATCTTTCATGCCAAATATTAAAACTCAAGCAAATAAGCAACTGGGTTATTCTCATTGATAGAAACGTTTGCCACAGAGGCTACAACATTGGAAGTAGAAGCAACATTAGCAACATCATTTTTACAAAGGACTGCCGTAACACACATCTTGACAAGTCCATTTTTCACATAACCTCTACCTACAAACACCCCAAACTTCTTGAACACCAGCTTGTCTGCCTCAAAGTGAGCTGATAATCCGACCTTGCCGAGGAGGATGCCGGAAATCATATTCTTCCTCATGTCAGGAACATGCTTCACATTCTAGAGAGTGACTTCTTTTCCTGAGGTCATCTTGAGCACGACTTTCCCAGGACCAGTAATATTTGAAAATGCAGAGTTTCCCATGAACAGCTGCCCCTGTCCCTTGCTCTCCTGATAGGTGCTAAACATTGCCTTATCAGTGCAAATGTGGGTCATGGCACCAGTGTCATACCACCACTCCATTTGATTGTATTTAATCATGTTGACTTCTGAGACCATAGCAGAAAGGTCTCCTTCAGTCAAAAAGTTGGTTTGAGCTTTTCCATTATTCTTGGGCTTGCTGCGACACTCATCTGCCTTATGGCCAAGCTTGTTGCAGTTGTGGCACTTGCCTTTGAACTTCTTTTGTGAGGCTCCATTCTTCTTGAAATTGGTGGAGGATAAAGGTTCCAGTGATGGCTTTTCATAAACCTTAGCCTTTCCCTTTCCCTTGTGGATAGCCACATTCGCATTGTGTCCCATACCCTGAGAGAAACCATGTTGGTAGCGGTTTCTATCCTCCATTTGCAACCTGGTGATGAGATCTTCAAGAGACAACACCTTCTTCTTGTGTTTGAGGTAAGCCTTGAATGAATCCCAGCTTGGAGGTAGCTTATGAATGAAGGCGTTTGCTGTGAAGATCTCACAAACCGACATTCCTTCCGCTGCTACTGATATATCATGGTTTTTATGGTTTTAAACCATGGTATAGGTGTTATTTATAGAGTCTTTCTAGTGTTTTTCGAGTCTTTTGGAGTCTTTACAGGTCTTAGGTACGTGTGGAGCTTAACTGGAGATTTTAGAGCAATTTGGAGTTTAATCAGGATCAAATTCGTCAAGGATGGATTTTGTGCTTTAGTGTCGCTCGACACCATGGAGAGTGACGCTCGACACTTGTCAAAGAAATAAAGAAAAGGCGATTTTGTTTCCTGTTTGAAGAAGGAGTTGGGCCCAGAAGTTCCCAAATAATTTCAAGAAAGCCCAGAACGTGTTTTAGAGATATATATAGGATTTTTATTCCCTTTTTATCCACACCTTAGATTTTTGAGAGAGAGATACTCTGAGTTTTTGCTTTGGGCGATTTTGAGAGCTAAGGGAGACAAGTCTGAACTCTGTCCGTTTAGAGAGAAGATTTCGAACCCCTTTATCTATTTCGATTTAATCTATTGTTTTCTATTCATCATGTTTGTTGTTACAATAATCATGTCTGAGTAGATCACCTGTTAGGTTTAGGGTTTAACTAGGGTTTTATTTGAATGTTTGATTAACTTGCTAGTTAGGGTTCATAATCTATTTAGTTCTTCACCATAGGTTGTTCTTTAAGCTAATTCTAGACTGATCACCTAGAACTTAGATCTTAGGTTGCTTAATTGACACAGAAGTGTAATTGAATAAGTGGAAAGAATCTAGGGTGAGCAAAGTAGCTATTCGCAAAGGAATTTGGTTTAGATACTTTGTGAACATATCGAACTTGTGCATTAAAGCTGGTTTAAATCTGTAGGATTTACAAAGGAATTTGGAATTCTAGGATTTTAACTTAGATAATTTTCACAACGGAAGTTGGTTAGTTATAATTTTGTGCTTCGAGTTCTAGAACCGTACTTAAACCTGAACTCTGATTAGTCAAGTTGATCTACATTCATTGATTTCCTGAAAAAACGCCCTAGACCTAATCTTTCTCCAATCGAACTTACATCCTTTTTCTGTTGCTTATTTATTTTCTCTGCATTGCTGTTTTTAATTCTCATTGTTTAGCTTAGCGTAATTCGAATTCTAATAGGTTTATTGAGTGACTTCTTGTCTCTGTGGTTCGACCCCTACATACTACAACTGCACATCTGTGCTCTTGCAGAGTAGCTTAGAGATAAACTTTGAGCAGATCAAGTTTTGGCGCCATTGCCGGGGACTTGATTTCGCCATTAAACCTAGTTTTTGAGTTTCGACTAAGTTTTTCTTAGTGTCGAGAGACACCACTAGTGGTGTCGCTCGACACCTTTCGTTTTATAACCTAATTTACTTATTTTGTTTTCTCTCTTTGTTTTTGGTACTTCAGGTTTATGCATACTCGTGGAACCAGAAGCAACAAGGACATCCCGCTAGTGAATTTGAGCAACGAGGAGCTTGCTGAGTTAGAGCGAACGAACAGAAAGGCAAAATATCCGGCAATGATGGAGAACGCCAACGGACTTATTCGTGATGATGCTGGAGTCTGGAGAGACCAAGAGGGTCATGTGTGCAATGTGAGAGGCCAAAGGCTTGATGGAGATGGTAACATCATTCCACCAGCACCTTTACCAGTGGATGTTGTTAACCAGAATCCACCACCTGCACCGCGTGGTAATGCTGTGATCGTTCCAAATCAGAGGAACGTTCAAGAAGATCGGAATGTGAGGACACCTGCACCTGCAGCTGGTCGGGGACGAACACTTAGAGATTACAACAGGCCTGAGCAGTTCTATGCAAATCGGTCTGCGATTCGCGCCCCTGCGTTTCAAAGGAACGATTTTGAGCTGAAACCTGTGTACTACACTCTTGTGGGTCAGCATCCCTTTCATGGTCACTCTCATGAGCACCCTATGGATCACATTGAGAGGTTTGAGGACTTGGTCACCAGCATCAAATAAAATGGAGTGTCCAATGATTTCCTCCTCTGCAAGCTGTTTCCTTATTCTCTTGCTGGAGAAACAGCTAACTGGTTGAAGCAATTGGAGCCAGGATCACTCACTACTTGGGAGGAGACCAGGAATGCCTTCCTGCACAACTTCTTCGATGATGCTAGGTCTGATGAATTGAGAAAAAAAATCTCGACATTCTCTCAAGAACCAATCTGAGGCGTTCAAAGCTTCTTGGGTGAGATTTAAGTCTTACCAGCGAGACTGCCCCCATCATGGCTTCAGCGATGTGCAGCTGTTAGGTATCTTCTTCAGAGGTATTGATTGGAGGTATCAGATGGCTCTTGATGCAGCAAGCAATGGAAATTTCAACACCAGATACCCAGACGAAGCTGTTGAGCTCATCGAAAACTTGGCGTCTAGCAATAGCACAAAGAATGCTGATCTTGAGCGGAAGAAGCAAGCTGGGAACATGGATAGATCGCAGATTGCTGAGGTGAAAGCTAAACTTGACTCTGTACATAGTCTTCTAGTGGGTAAGAAGTCTGTCAGATTCACACAGGAAGTGGAGAGTTTCGAACCTGAGGATGAAGCTGAGGAGGAAGATGTCAACTCTGTCAATGGATCAGGGTTTCAGGGTCAGAGGTTTGGTAATCAGCAAGGTAACAGAAGCTTCAGTGGAAACAATCAGAGGAGCACCTTCAACAGTAATCAGAACTTCTCTGGTTAAACACCTAAGCCTCAGTACCAGAAGCCTTATTCCAACAACAGTTTTTCCAGAAACTACAGTACTCCTTCAGCTCAACCTCAAACTCCTGACAATGAGATGAAGTCTATACTGGAACAAATTCTGGAAGGTCAGCAGAAGCTCACCGTGGACTTCAATGGAAAGATGGATGCTCTCTACCTTGATCTGAATGGGAAAATCGAAGCTTTGAACACCCATGTCAAGCAGCTCGATACGCAGGTTGCTCAAACTGCAGGTTCTGTTAAAAGGCAAAAAAGTTTTCTTCCTGGAAAGACTGACACCAATCCGAGGCATCACTGCAGTGCCATCACGTTGAGGAGTGGTAAAATTTTGAGTTCTGAGCCCAAAAAGACGCCACCTGCAGCTGAGGTCGTGGATTTGGAAGATCCTGAAGAAGTTCCTGAAATTGCAGAGACGGTGTCGAGCGACACCACAACCAGTGTCGCGCGTCACCAATCACAGAGCGAAGCTGTTATTGCTCCAAGTCCAAAATCTGCTGAGGAGAATGTCTACAAACCTAAGGTTCCTTACCCAAGGAGCCTTAGGAAGTCCAAGCAAGAGCTTGATGATGCACGATGCAAGGCTTTAATGGAAAAGCTTGTGATTGAAATACCT